TATATATATATATATATATATATATATATATATATATATATATATATATATATATATATATATATATATGTATATATATATATATATATATATATATAAGTACATATATATATACTTTTCCTTTTCAACTCATCCTAATCATTTTCCTTTTACAGGACTTTGGGATGGCTGAGGAATTTGCTACTAAGGCACTTGAACTAAAACCAAAATCCTATGAAGCCTACTACGCCAGGGCACGTGCCAAGCGTAGCAGCAGGTAACCTCTCACTCTCAATACTGTGATAAACAATTTTGTTCTTGGCAGGAGAACAAGGTTTTACAGTGTAGATGCTCTAATTAGACTCTCACTCTAAAACTTTTGTCCAGTTGAAAGAACTGAATTGTTTTCCTGCTGTGAATGATACCAGGACGTTAGAGGGAATACACACATTTTGTATTTGTTTTTCATATATCTAATTTTGATTACATTTAATTTCACAGGCAATTTCCTGAAGCAATGGAGGACCTGAATGAAGCCATAAAGCTGTGCCCAAACAACCGTGAGATCCAGAGGCTGCTGCAGAGAGTGGAGGAGGAGTTCAGGCAGCTGACGCAGGGCGACCAGCCACAGGACCTGGACCTGGAGCCTCCGCCCTCGCCCCCTCCCACACCTCCCCCTGATGATGAGGAGTCCCTGTCCCTCTCCGTGCCCCTCCCTCCTCCCCCCGAGCCCCGCCTAGACGACATGGAGCCCGTGCAGGACTTGTTTGAGGACGAAGACTATCTGGAGCAGGAGCTGGAGGCCATGTCTCTGGGGCTGCCCCCTCCAGACACTCTCACCAATGCTTCCAGTCTGCCCATCATCCAGAGCCCCCCAATGTCCCCCACACACCCAGACCAAATCTATCTGAGCGGGGGCTCTCCTATGGGCCAGCCCTATGAGTACCACCCCACTTCCTCCTCCATGTCCTCCCCTACACGAGGCTCATACCAGCCCACCTCCCCCTCCCTGTCCCCCACTCATCAGAACCACTACAGACACAGTCCACCCCAGACCTCTCCTGTGCACCAGGCGTCCTATCGCTACAGTCCTCCTCCTGGAGGCATGGACCAAAGCCCCCCTCCGTCACCCCTGCGGCGGGCAGCTCAGTACAGAGCCAGCCCCCCTCTGGAGAGTGTGTGCATGTACCGCTCACAGTCAGGATCCCCTGTGCGCTTCCAGACGGAGCAGCTCCCGGGGCGACCCAAGTCTCCTCTGGCCAAAATGAGCAGCCAGCGCTCGTTTCAGCTCACCTCTCAGCCCTCGCTGTCATCCCACCAGGCTCAGGGCCTGCGCCTGCAGCCGTCCATCGCACAGATTGTCCGTACCAACCAGCCCAGTGTCATGGGCAACAGCAGTTACGGGGGCCACCCCCTGAGCACCCGCTACCAAGCGTCTGTGGACCTGGTGTACCAGCCCTCTCTGGACGGGCGCTCCATGCCACAGGTCCAGGCTAGCCTCAGCTCAGGGGCCCTCTGTCAGCACGGGGGCCGAGGAGGGGTTATGGAGCCAGGCCTCTTGAAGGACGAGCTGCCCCAGCGCCCCTCCTCTGCCTACCGCGCCAGCGGGGGTCCGGGGGGCATCCGCTACAGCCAGACTCCTCAGATCAGCCGCAGCCAGTCGGCCGCCTACTACCCTGTGTCTGAGCACGTGCTGGAGCGGGCCAATGCCATGCCCCCCTGTCAGCTGGGCTCCCCTGAGATCCCCCACATGGTACGGCGGCCCGTCAGCGCCAACACCACCGAGATGAAGATGCCCACCCCCAGACCCCTCATCCACTCCCAGAGCGTGGGGCTGCGCTTCTCCCCCTCCACCAACAACATCACAGGCTCCACCTCCAATCTGGCACCTGGCTTCAGGCCCTCGTCCTCCATCCAGCAGATGGAGATCCCTCTGCAGGCGTCGTACGAGCGCTCCTGTGATGACATCTCCCCCATCTCCCCCTCTCAGGGCGGGGGGCTGTACCCGGGCGAGACCACCCGCTCCAGAAACACTCCTTTTATGGGCATCATAGACAAGACGGCGCGGACTCAGCAGTACCTGCACCAGCCCTCCAGGACACGGCCCATGACCTCCATGGACTCTGCCATCAGCCCCACCTCCCCGGGGCAGCTGGTGTCACAGGGTTCCACCTACAGCCCCCCTGCTTCTCTGGGCAACATTGCCTACTACAACAAGACCAACAATGCCCAAAATGGGCACCTGCTGGAGGAGGACTACTACCAGACACAGCCCCCCTCTCTGGGGAAGCTGGCCAATGGCTCCCGCGGAGGAGGGGACATCCTGGAGAGGGTCAGCCAGGTGCCCACCTACCCCGATGTGAAAGTGGCCAGGACTCTGCCCGTGGCACAGGCCTACCAGGACAACATGTACCGCCAACTGTCCCGCGACTCCCGCTCCCAAGGCCCCCCCTCCCCCATCAAACCAAAGAGACCGTTTGTGGAGTCCAATGTGTGACGCTATGGGTGAATGGTTTGACTGGGCCCGAGTGAGAGGACACGTGTGAAACAGAGACACGAATGATCAAAGACTAATATGAGACAGTTAACCTGCAGGGGGCGCACTGGGACTTACAAGAACAACACAACTAACAGACGCCATTATTTCATTATCAGGTTCTACAGGTACAAATACAAGAGGGTCATTTAATGTTCTTTCAGAAACCACTACATCGATACAGAAAACAGGACTGAGAAAGTATTAATCAATCGATTCTGCTCGTGGACTCTCCATCTACTCTTCTTTCAAAGTGTGCTCTTAAACAAGGTTGGCCCTATTCAATGTAATACAATATTCTATGTTCAATAGTGTACATTGCTCCGAAAATACAAATGGATCAACAACTCAGTACTTAGAGAAGATGCTCATATTTATAATTAAGTTATATACTGTATATAAACATAGAACAACATAGTTTGCATTTGAAATGTATACTGTTAACCCAGCCTTGACGTCCCACGGCTCGTCATAAGAGAAAGTGAAACTGAAGCAATGTCAAAGAAAGAGGGACAATGACCAACTTTGATATGACGTTATTACCTCCATTGAGTGACGAAGCTTTTGTTTTGTGTGTTTGGCACGAAATATTTTTACATAACAAGCTATTATAGAGTTTGAACTCATAATAATATACTAGTCTAACCGTGTTGTTTTAAATCTCATCATTTGGTTACAGTTATTTTCTTTTATATATTTGATTTTAAGTGATCTGCTGTATTATCCTTTCATTACAAGCCTCATGCCTTAGTGTGAACAAGAGGTGGCAGTCTTGAGCTATTTAAAGGATCAACACTACTGTGGTCTGTTTAGACAAAGAACGAGAGGGAAGTGCAATATCGCGTTTTCAGAATAAGTTTCTTTTAGAGTAAGAATAATAGAAGAGTTCAGTAATACGCCACATTTCTCTCAAAGTTTGCCTTTGTCCCTCCCCTGCACATAGAGGCACTGTATTTTTAAATACTAAATATACAGTATAATACAGAGATGGTATCAAGGATCGTGCTCAGAGAATAGCAAGCAAATGCATACACTACCACTGTTAATCTCCCTTCCTCTTACATTATTTTTTAATTTGTACTGATAAAATTTCCTTAACTTCTGCACTATACAGCCTGTTAAGTTCTTAACTAAGGGTGCACTTTATGTATTTTACTTATTTTATTGTTCGATTGTTGAAGATGTGTGGTGGGTCAGTGTAGTCTGGCCAGTGTGACTATCATACACTATATGATTTACTAAGCAGCAGTAATGAATGACAATACAAAGAGCAATGTTTTTATTCGGGTGACGATGTATAGACTTTCTAGCACAAGTTGTACATAGTGGCTATGGTCCGGGTATGTAAAGAGAAGCATTATAGTAAGTATCCCACATCTGAAATATTGTCAAATCAGTCGTCAATTCCACTGATTTTACGCACATCTACTGCAAAATGGTATTACTGAGTTTAACCATGTGTATATTGGAGTATGGGTGTTAGAACAAGCAGCACTATAATGTAAAAGATATTTGTAAATGTGGATAAAAGTTATAGACCGTGTGTCTGTAACTGTATATTTTGGTTGTCCGATAGAGTATCTAAAAGAGGTGGTTCTTATTGTAATTGCCTTCTATTAATAATAATCTGATTTACCTGCTACAAAGAAAGATATAGACAATATATCTTTAAGGAAATGAAGGTTTAAAATGTACCATACTTGTTTTAAAGGAGACTTCTCATTTGAGGATATCTGAGGGTGTGTGGTTTTGCGCTGTCTGTGTACATTAGTTGCTGTAAATAGTTCGGTGCATGTTCTCTTCTTTCCATGAGCTCCGTGTCCAGACTGAAGGACACAATGTAAACGAATGGGATCTCAATAAGAGTCTGTTATCCCGACCTGCCCTCTTCATTTTAGCACCAAACAAAAGCGAAAGGTTCTATTTTATTTTCATGTGTTTGCTTGCTGAGCAGAGTTCTCTTGTC